AGAGGACAGAGTGGAACTGCCACAGGGTCTCCAAGGCTGTCAATCTTCACAGAAGCAAAGCCCAAACCACACCCACTGCCGTGGAGTCCATTCTGACTCACAGCGCCCCTAGAGGACAGAGGGGAACTGCCCACAGGGTCTCCAAGGCTGTCAGTCTCCAGGGAAGCAAAGCCCAAACCACACCCACTGCTGTGGAGTCCATTCTGACCCACAGCGCCCCTAGAGGACAGAGTGGAACTGCTTACCGGGTCTCCAAGGCTGTCAATCTTCACAGAAGCAGAGCCCAAACCACACCCACTGCCATGGAGTCCATTACAACCCACAGTGCCCCTGGAGGACAGAGTGGAACTGCCCCAAAGGGGTTGCAAATCTTACAGAAGCAAACTGGCTTACCTTTCTCTCACAAAACAGCTGGTGGGTTTGAACTGCTGACCTTTTGCTTAGCAGTCAAATGCTTTAACCCCTGTGACACCAGAGCTCCCTTATTGTTATGGAAGCTCCCTGAACCCCACATCACCACATCCTAGACCATCAGTCACCATACAGCCACCCACTAACGAAGGGCCTGTTCCCCTCTACGCTGCCATGGCCCACGACAGTGGCCAGAGGGGAGTCGGCCAGGGCTCAGGGGTGGGATGGGAAGGAGTGAGACAGACGGGGACAGGGAGCTCCTACAGACAGGTCGAGGCCGGGTCTCTGGGTTCAGGACATTCAATCCCATTCCCACCCCCTATGAGAAGCAACTGGGTATAAAAGCAGGTAAATACCACTTCACATACCTGGTGTTTTCCAAGACACCCTAAAGCTTCCGAAACGTACTAAACAAGAACTGACTGGACACAATACTGGTGCTAACCCCTCTGCTGGGACCTGAATCCTACAGGTTAGCGCTGCTGTGACCTTCCACCGAGCCAGCCCCTGCCTCGTGCCGAGCCCGTGCAGGGAACTGAGCACTGCCTGGTTCCATGGATCGGAACGCTGTGCCCGCGGGGCTCATTAACTGATTCCAGAAGTGGGCCCTCTAACACCTGTCAGCATCACAGTGACACGCACCCCTCCAGACAGACTGACGGGCTGCACAGGAGACACACTGGGCGGGAATTGAGCCTGGCTCTCCCGCGTGGAGGGCGAGAGTTCCAGCACAGAGCTACCCCTGGCCCAAGACCAGTTAGTGTCTCCTGTAAAAACCACCCTGGGGCAGTGGGGACCCGCGAACCCCTCCCTGAGCGTCTCAAGATGGAACCATAGCCCTCAGCACAGACCCTGATTCATTCACTGTAGGACGTCACCAGGGAGACCAAAATCACGCTGTGACGGAGATGGGAAGGCACTGGCCGAGAGAACTGGGATACGGGACCGAGCCCCCAGAGCCTCCTGGTTACGGCTTAAACACGGGGCTGCGGGCTGTGGAGGGATTCGTGCCTCACGTGTCAAAGGAAGCAGCCACTTTAGGGAACGGCCTGGCAGCTGGTCGGAAAGCTGGACACAGGGTCACCAAAGGAACCAGCAACTCCGCTCCCACCTCTACACCCAGAAGACCCGAGGGCGTGCAGGTGAACACAGACTTGTCCACAAATGTTCACAGAAGCCGGGAGGTGGAGGTGACCCACGTGTCCACCCACAGATGGAGGAACAAAGTGGGGTCCATGGGATTTTATGCAGCCACGGAACGGGATGGAGTTCTGATCCACGCTACAACATGGAGGAACCCTGACACATCACGTGGAAAGCCACCTGGCACGCAAGGCCAGGGTGCGTGACTTCTATGTAAAATGCTCCGAATGGGCAGCTCCACGGGACAGAAAGTCAAACGGCAGTTACCAGAGTCTGAGGGGGGGAGACATGGGGAGTTACTGTCTAAGGGGCACAGGGCTCCCGTACAGGGGGCTGGAAAGTTCTAGAAATACACAGCGGCGACGACTGCGTGACACTGTGAATGCCCTCGATGCCACTCTGCTGTACACCTAAAACGGCGGAAACGGTCCACTCGAGTTACACGCGTTCTACTGCCACAAATGCACGTATGTGTCTGCTCCAGGCTGCCCCCCACCATGGGGTGTTCTGCCGAGGAAAGGTGGTAAGGGGGCCGTAGCTGCTGTCACCGCCAGTCCCGCAGGCCACCCACCAGGGAGCCCGCCTGGAAATGAGGTGGGGCTCCTCCGTGAGCAGCTTCCTGAGACAGGCATGGGGCCAACATGACCACCCCCAGACCCAACCAGATTCAAAACGCCCATCGGGCGGCTTCTCTAACCCAGCACAGCCTCAGGCAAGAGGGGCCTTCACAGGACGCCCCGTGAGGTACTGCTGACAGCTAACATGGCCCGTGACAGTAAGGGAACTCAGTCATGCCTGGGGCGCACACGTTCTCGCAGAAAGGCAGGCTGCACCCGCCGGGCAGACGTGCAGCGTGAGGCGGACCCACACCCACCCTGTTCACGGTGTCCTTCACGGCCGGCACGGGCAGGCGAGGCAGCGAGGTCTGGAAACTGTACAACAGGGGCTTTCGGCCTGAAAAGACCTTCACCATACCCTGCCAGGAAAAAAAAAAAATCACATTTTTGAAGCTGAAAGTCCAGTAAAGACTGAAGCCATTTCTCCAGTGATACAACTTGCCGATTATTTTACCCGAGTCTGTGGGAGTACCTGTCCTGCGGTCCCCTTCTGTCCCGACACTCACAGACCCCAGCAAACCCCTTATAGCCCCTCAACGAAAACCACACTGAATAAAAGCCTACGCTTGATGCCAGCGTCCCAGCAACAGAGCTGGCCTCTGGCCTCTGTGGCATCTCACGTCACCCTTCACTCACAGTCAGGTGCAGAGGAGACCACACACTTGCCTACTGTCAGTCTTGTTGCAGGTGGAGTGACCTGAACTTGCTGTGATAATGTGTCGTCTTAGCCGACCAGACCTCAAAGAAAGTGCTAGCGCTCATGGTACGGGGAGGTGGAGAAATACCACTGTGTCACTTGGACCTGAGGAGTGTTGGGACTCGACCTACAGTGGCATGAAGGCCATCTGAGGGAATGACTCCTAACATCGGCATCAAGTGTTAGAAGCACCTCCGAGTGTCTTCTCGGGAGCGATTCAGTTTCTCTGGAAATCAGAAGACTTCAGCTGAGCAGCCACAGGAAACTGGTTTGGAGCAGGGAAGCCTGGCATCAGAGGTGTGCAGGGGCCATGGGCACTGGCGACCAGGCCACCTGTGAGCCCGCTGGGGGTTTCCAGCTGCCAGGGCCAGCAGGCCCAGTGGTGCTACCCCTGGTGACGGGGAGCACAACGCAGGCAGCTCAGAGGCCCTGCCTCAGGCCAGAGCTGAAACAGCCAGCTAATGAGTGGGACCTCGTTTCACTTAGAAACAATAAAACACCACAACAAAGCAAAGGTCTTACAGGAAAATCTAATTTTACCCTTCCCACTGCTGTCAAGTAGATTCTGACTCACAGCAGCCCTAAAGAACAGGGAGGCACTGCCCCAGGGGGTTTCCTAAGTTGTCTTCTTAATGGAAGCCAACTGCCTCACCTTTCGCCCACAGAACAGGTGGCTGGTTTGAAGTGCCAACCTTTCAATCAGCAGCCAAGCACTTAACCACTGCGCCACCAGGGCTCCTCCCAGTTACGACCAGGTTCATTACAATCCACCCAGATCATGTAACAGAACCGTGGTTAACACAGCCCAATGTTTGTGCACAGACCCTCTGTTATTATTTACAGACAATGGCCTTTGTGACCACCATAAGCTGACTCCCAACACTCTTACGCTCCAAGCATCACCATGGCCATCTCTCCACCCCCGTCACCATGAGCTCGAGAGCTTCCTCTGTGGTCTGTGACCATGACATGGCCAGTTACTGCACCATGTCTTCAAGTTTATACTCTGCGTCTTTGGAAGCAATGCTCAAGATCTGGGCTGGACCTGAATCAGTTGTTGAAGATTCGGGTGATGAGGACAAATGGGCAGACACCTGCTCACAGGTGTGCAGGCCCACAGGGTCCGAGCGCTGAAGATGGAGGCTTTGGGCATCCACACACTGCTCCCACCCTGACAGCTTCTTTCCAGAAACCCCAAGCTCATAAACATTTATACACAATGGAATTTGAACAGACACCCATGCCCATGACAAAGCAATTCACTGCACAGGTGACCGTTGGGCTCAGGGTCAGGGCCAGCATCCAAATATACCAGAAATGAACATGGGCCGCAGGTGTCCCAGTCGGGGGGTCAGGTGAGGGAGGTCACTGAATGCCTGGCTACACGGTAGTCACAGGGGCTGCAAAGCAGTCGCTGTTATGTTACGAGGAGTGGGCGACATCCTGAACTGCCCTCCCCACAGACAGTCATGTGTGCAGCACGCCACAGCAACGAGAAGGGAAAACACTCTGTGGCCCAAACACACGTGTCACCGTAAACCAAGTCCCTCCAGGTAGAAGGCCTGACACCCACACCAAGCACCAGGAGAAAGGTTCCACGAGCATCCTTATGTCAAGAGCAAAACCATCACCACACGCGCCACTGAGGCACACGTGCGATTACCATCCAGATCTTGGTGGCGCGGCTCATCTTGCCGTGTTCGGCAAACATCCACCCGTGGTAGGAGAGCAGCACCTTCAGGGAATAGCGCATGGTGATGATAAGCGCCACCCACAGGCCGGTGCCAAAGAGGACGCCGCTGACGACGTTCTTCATCTGGTCCGACATGTAGTCACTGCCGAAGCAAAACAAAAGAAATCACAAACTCGTTAGCGTGGAAGAGACCGTGGGGGGCGCAACTGAGCCAGACCTGCGCTCAAAGACTAAACCACCTTCCGTGTGTCAGTGACGCAGTGGTGGCTGCGTGTGGCTTGAGGCTGGAGGCTATGCCACCAGTGTTGTGACCACCAGCAGGGTCACCCGTGGTGGATGGGTTTCAGCCAAGCGTCAGAACGAGAGCAGGAAGAAGGCCTGAGGATCAACCCGTGAAAACCAGCCAGTGGGGACCATACGGATCCTGACGGAATACTGTCAAGGGCGGTGCCGGGAGAGGAACCCCCAGGTTAGGAGGCACTGAACACACACGGCTCACACTCTGGACTCGAGCACACCCACCCCCATGAACACGGAGCAGGACCAGGCGGTGTCTTGTTCTGGTGCACACAGGTCATGAGCAGAGCTGATGTGACCGCAACTCATGGTGAGAAAAGAAAAAGCAGCCCGTCAACCAAAATGAGAGAACATACAACCCAAGGGGGAGATCGCACCCCATCAAACAGAGGGCTCGTGCGGGCCCCCTGCTCAACAGAGTTACAGCAACCTCTCTCTCACCTTGGCACGAACCAGCTGCATCTGCCTTGGGCTCCTCGCTGCTGGCCAAGGCTAGTTTGTGTCATCAGGGAAGGAACAATGACAGGGGACGGGGGCTGCGAGCCGCAGGGCACCCCCGTGACTAAGACCACGCTGCGGACAACGTGCACCTCCTCGCCGGGCGGCTGCCGGCACTTCTGAGCAGCCACCCGGCTCTCTGTGCTCCGCTTTCCTCTCAAGCACACCCTGCACTCTGCTTTCACTCATGAGAGACTCCGGTCACTTGGCACAAAGCTCATGCAACCTGTTTATACCAAGACAGCCTGCCTGTTTTACGTGATGCGTTGACTCAGTGTCATCTAGCTGTGCGTGAGGAAAGACTGAGCTGGCAAACTACGTTCCCCTAAGACTCGGGGGAAGAAGAGCTTCACTCACACAAATAATCGTTTGAATAATAAATACAGAAAATGGCTTCATTTGCAACAGAAAATGAAATGTCTGCTGTACACCGGGACCTTAACGAGGAAAAGAAACACAGCTGCTCATGCACCTCTGTGGCCTGGTTTTTAGGTTTAGTTGTTTCAGAGAGAGGAAACTATCTGAAAACTAAAAACCGTTTAGAGAGGCTTCACATGTTTCCGACAGCTAATATGTAAACTGAAGGTGGACCCAACAGGGCCGAGCCACCGATCTTATGATCCTTGAACAAGAGAACGAGCGTCTCCAAGTGAAACGCCTTCGTTGCTAACCTTCTCCTCCTAGAACCTGTCAAGTCCTGCCTTAGAATCTGACGGTAGTCTCTGCTCTAACCCCAGCCTTCCCGAACGATCTGATCTGGGAGCAAACCTGGCTACGGGTCCCAGAGCCGAGCTTCTGAGGGTCTGCACCTCACGCTCCGGGGTGGACGTGGCTGGAGAGAGAGCCACAGGCAAGCTCCACTCTCAGCACTCACTGCCCCGGAGGGTGAGCGAGCGGATGCCGGCGTCGGGGTTCTTAATACACACACACACACGGGCTGCTGTTCCGGCGCCGGGGTCCTTAATGCACACACACACACACACACACAGGCTGCCGTTCAGGCGCCGGGGTCCTTAATACACACACACACACACACAGGCTGCCGTTCAGGCGCCGGGGTCCTTAATACACACACACACACACACACACAGAGGCTGCCGTTC